GATGCTGAGTACGAGTACATGTGCATTTGATTAAGATGCAATTTTTATGTTTACTGTGAAACTGGCTAAGAAAAAAAATATATAAATTTCCATGTATAAAAAGAATGTATTACTTTATTAGAAGAATAGTACAAGTAATTTAAAAAAAGGAGGAATATATTTCAAGGGAAAATTAAGATGGTTCAAAGAAAATCAAGCCTGTTAGAATTCGAGGTACTATATATATATATTAGAGATGGACCATCAATCCTGTACAGATTTTATTGATTAATTTATCGAGCAACACTTGTACTATTTTATTAACATAGATAGAATTATTAATTTCTTATTTTTAACGCGTATGGAAGAAAAAAAATCAGAGACAACGGTGTGTACGATTATGTATAATTAAAGATTTTGCTATATAAGCAATTCTATCGATTGAATTAGAATTTTGACTGAGCTCTGATTAACTTAATCGGGAATTAAATTAATTATCAAATATCAATTATTTTATTAACACATACATCGACAGAATTATATTAATTTTTATTTAATTGAAATATGAATTTGTAATAATTTATTTAATTTTATTAAACATACAAAATATATATTAGGGACAATGATATTATTTAGAAATTCTGCTCTAAACGATTCTGTCGGTTGAATTAATCACATAATTAATAAATTAATCAGAAATTAATTTTTATCGAAGTCGTTTTGAGATATCGATACCTAAGATTTTTTGTGTGTTTAGTTGGCAGTACTGCGTATCAAATTCGGTATTTATGTATGTTTTGGGTTCGTGAATGTTTGAGGTTATATCATATGTATATTAAAATGTCAGAGTATATAAATTGATCTGAGAAGAAAAATAGTGCTTAAATCCATAATGAAATAAGACATTGGTTCCAAGAATGGCAGCTTTAATGAAGAAACGAGTGCTAGCTGAATTTAATCAGAGCCAGACGGTAAGATTATATCACGTGTTTCATTCCGATCACGAAGCATAGCTAAAATAATTATTTTAACAAGCTACAAAATTTCCGCCCAGATTGTTAATGAGCCGCCAACCAAACGGTTAAAGACTCTAAGGCTATTATCGACGTCTGGTTCGAAGAACGGTGCCGACAGCAGCTCGGCGTTAGCTTACATAGAATGCCTGGAAAAATGCAAGAGTGGAAACGACGCGTTGCAACTGCTCGTTCGTATTTCGGATGCTATAGCGTACATAGCACCGGAGGATGTTCCCGTTGCTATAAAGAAGCTGGCGGAGAGATTTGCTGTCGAGAAGAAAGTTGCGGTTAGAGCCAAGATTTTCTGGGTGTTTGCTGAATTGGGAGAAGTGACGCCTGACACGTTGGAAAAGGCAAAAATTGTGAATGAAGTGGCTGAACTTCTGCGAAACGAGGAGTCGCACAGAGTCAAGAGTCAGGGATTAGCGACGCTGTTAAAGTTGGGAGATTATCAAAGGTGTACATATCTCATATGTTACTGTCTCGTAGCTCTTTTTTTTTTCTTTTTTCTTTTCCCAAGATTTAGCTCTCATGTGTATTTGCAGTTAAAGTTTAAATATTTGTCTTGATTAAGGAAGTAAAAAACACTTTCTTCTATTAGCAAATCAATTACGAGAAATATTTCTTGTACGTTCAGGGCACTGGTATTGAAAATTGCACAGGAACATCTGCCCGACACCTGGCACGGTGTTCAAACGCGGTGTCTTTCTATCATCGGCCGTTATCTAACAGCAAATGCTGCAGATGATACCTTAACGTTAATTGGCAATTATGCCCGCTCTCAAGATCCACGGGTTCGTGCTCAAGCTTTCGAAACTATGGCAGAATTGCATTCTCACAGAGGTTGTAGGCTCCCTGCGAGTTTCTTCAAGGAAGCCTGCGCAGCCCTTCGCGACGATTACGAGATTGTACGCCGAGCTGTTCTGAAACTTATTTGGCTTTTGGGCAGGGAGTATCCAGAGAAGTCAGTATATAAGTAAAAATATGTTTTAAAGATGAAATTTTACAGTAAACTTTTTTTTTACATGATCCTTTTAAATGTTACAGCATTGTTGTTGGTTCTGATGGCGAGGATGTACGTATGGTGGACTGTGCCTTTTCACAAATTTGCAGTCTTATGGGTGATTTGTCATCTCGCGTGAGAGCCTCGGCGATGTCCCTTTTGGGAACCATGAAAGGTGTGTCGCGTCGTCATATAGAACAAGCGTTGGATAAAAAACAAAAAATAGTTGAAGCGGACAGACCCGAAGTTGAAGAGAAAAGTGGATCTTGCGGAGCATTCATTCATGGCTTGGAAGATGAATTTTTAGAGGTATAAATTTTTATTTATTGCAATACGTACAATAACAATTTTCTTGGAATATTCGTTAAAGATCGTCAAATTAAAAGTTCATTATTATACCTTAATCAAATTTGATATAAAATTTGATTATAACTGAAATTTATCTTTTTCTCATATTTTGTTCTCATATCGATCATATATAAATTTCATTTTAGGTGAGAACAGCGACAGTTGAAGCACTCTGCACGATTTCGTTAGAGCAACCGAGTATAGCTAGAATTTCATTGGACTTTATGGTGGATATGTTCAATGACGAAATTCAGGATGTCAGATTAAGAGCTATTGAATCTTTAAAAAAAATGTCATCGAGCGTAACCCTTCGAGAGGATCAATTGGAAACAATTTTAGGCGCGTTGGAAGATTTCTCAGGAGAAGTGAGAGAAGGCTTGCACGCTATGCTAGCTGCTAGTCATCTCGCCACCACAAATTGTCTTTACATGTGCGTTAATCGTTTGCTAGATAATTTAACAAGATACCCTCAGGACAGGGAGAGTATCAGGAGTTGTTTAGCGGCATTGGGCGCGTCACATCCATACTTAACGCTACCTCTAGTACCGCAACTTCTTGGCCGACATCCTTTCTTCGACACACCCGAGCCAGATGTGGATGAACCGTCCTGTAAATATTTTAAATTTATTTTTATTGTGCAAATAGTCTTTTATTTTAAAATTGTATTCAATACCTTTAACTTTTTATAACAGATGCAAGCGTACTCGTTTTAATCTTCAATGCCGCGTTACACTGTCCAAGCATGCACGCCCTGTTCACGGAGCATGCTTCTAAACATTATCACTATTTGCGCGACACTATGCCGCATCTAGTTCCGCGATTGCGGCCAACGCTTACAAGCGGTTCAGGAATCAAAATGGAAGATATGGATAATGAAGAGAACAGAGGTCAACGTGGTCGTGAGTTCTTGGAGAAGATGGTAGCCGGAATCGAGAATGCCAGACCAGGAGGCAGGGTTCATACGCAACTTTTGAATACTGCAGCCATTGATTTTGATCGCTTGGCAGAGATGGATCACCATATGGAAGGCGCTGCACGTTTCGCCGCCTTGTATATTCGTTGCTTGCTGCTGTTGAAGTCCGTCCTCAAAGAATGTTCTGTGTCTTCGACGACGTCTATCTCGGCGAACCCAGTGCCGAATACCAATAACAATATTTTCGTTCTTCTTCAGCACACGCAAAAGTACATATCGTTATATATCATTTTGATACGCCATATAATTTTAACGATAGATAAAAAAATACAAAAGCTTATATACATCATTATTTTTTAGATTACAACGCTTATTTAGTGGATTAGGCGAGAACGAAATTATATTGGCTAATGATATGTGGTTGAAAGCACTGGCTATAGAATTAGTTAGGGTGACCAGGAGTGCGACCGGCAGCGCGTTACCACTAGCTCGTTATTTCCTATCGGAAGCCGATGCCTTGCCTCAAGATACGTCGAGGCTACCGCCATTCTCCAGGGCTCTGGTTCTACAAATACCCACCTTGGCGGACGTGAAGCCGGGCTCCTTGACGCGGCTTTTGCTGCCATTGCTTTTGACGCCAGTAGCACAGGGGGAAGAACGACTGCCGAGACCATCGGCGACGACGCGCTTTTGTCGAGCGCACATCGAGGAACCGAGAGGCGATGCTGATGCCGCGCTAAAATTCACGGGCGGCCTTTTACTGGGAATCCCCCTGAACGCCAAGATATTGAATCTACGCGATCCCTCCACTCTGCGGATAAAGCTGAGACATCCGGATCAACAAGTGCAATTACTGTTACCGCGATCCGCAGATCTGCGTATGCAGCAGTCCGATCAGAAAGATTACAGATTGAGAACGACAGTTCTTCTGTCGCATCAAGTGTGGATGGAACCTTGTAACGTAGAGATCTCCTTAGCATTACTATTACCTTCATCTGCGATTTGCACGCATCCACCTTTAGACGACCCGTGCGTGATCGATTTGTGTAAACCTACCAAAGTATCGATTGCACCGAAAGCCATCAAAAGAGGCATATGATTACATTATAGTGTAAATGATTATTTAATACTTTTATTTTTGATCATTTAATTTGTATGTATCTTTATAGATCAAGATTTAATACGCAGAAAATTAATTTGTTAATAAAATATGTAATTTAAACAAATTTGTATGCTCAAAAAAACCATTGTGATATCATCATATGAAGTAATGAAAGATCAAAATAGTATTTGTTGTAAATAGTCTAAATAAGCGCTTGATTATTCTCGCTGAACATCACTAAACACTAAATAGAGAGCAAGATAATGAATATTCTGAATAACTTGGAATAGTCTGTCAAGCGAAAAATTTGGCTTTGTTTAAAAAAATTTGGTCTTGTCATTCAACACATAAATTAAAGGAATATCTAGTAGAAAATATAATTTCAAAATTATATAAATAACAAGAGACAGATATCCACTAAAGAAAAAAAGAAGAGAATAAGATAACCGCAAATACTTTTCATTCAGCATTCGATCATATTTAACACGAGAGCTGGCGCGCTGCATTATGGTTTTCACTCAAATTATAATATTTATTGATCAATTTTCTTTATTTAAATAAAAATGCTTTATTGTAAAACTTAGATCTGTTCTCATTTATTACAACGTACAAGACAATAGAACACGATCTCTGTCATAAAAAGTACACATTTCTGAATGTAAAACAGTATATACACAATTGTAATTAGATAATTTCCTTATTCAATAGTAATTTCATATTCTGCTAGACGTATGACAGTTTTGAAGGTAAATCTGCCGCAACCATATCATTCATCTCCAACTGGAGAACGAGCTGCCGCTGAAATAAGATGGTTATTTATTATTTGTAAATTCTTTCTATATCTTGGTATTATTATTGCTATCTTATTGACTCGAAAACATATTGATTCAAAAGCTACATACGCAGTGAACGCTGGTTTGTCTGGCTCTTGATTCTTCTGGGCTAAGCTACCGAAACTGAGACCACCTGATTGATTGGCTAAAGATTCGAACGTACTGCTGCCTGCCACTTCTCCAAATACTTTTGGCACATTTTCCATTGTAGGGGGGCCAGCTTGCATAGCAGGTGGACTTCCAAATCCTATTTATAACATTCTTTTCTTATTATAAATGAACAAGAGGTGCAGGATAATGTAATTATGATCAATCCAGAATTGATTATAAAACTAATTGGGGCATTATCTATACATTTGTGAGCTGGAGTTAAAGGAACTATAAAATAAATGAGGAAAGATTTTTCATATTGTTCTTCAAAAGTAGGTAATAGTTTAATACATAATAGTTTACATACCAATTATGTATTCGCGTTTTAAGAATGTTATAATAATATCAGCTATTTATTTACCCATGCCAGGAGACTCAAACGTAGGAGGTGAGCCAAAACCAGCACCTCCAAAAACGGGTTTTGCTCCGCCAAAGATGGGTGACGATCCGAACACCGGCTTGGCACCGAAGGCTGGAGCTTGTCCGAAAGCGGGTGGGCTGCTGAGTACAGGTTGCTGTATGGGAGATGTGTTAGGCGCAGTAGATCTGAAGACATTTGTGCCCGCAGGGGAACCACTGACTGCCGCCGGCGACGTGTTGCTCGTCGCACCACCAAACGGAGAAGCAGGTGCGTTTGTCCCTCCACCAAATACAATACCGGGTTTCGGGGCATTAGTGTCGAATATAGATCCCGTTGAGACCGTACCGAATCCTGTGTTACCCCCGAAGATATTTCCGCTCGGAGGGGTCGACCCGAAGACAGAATTCATGCTGTTGCCTCCGAATATCGGTGTAGAAGTATTCGAGGAGGTAGCGGGCGTATTGGAGAACACCGAGCTTGAAGTATTACCAAACGGCGTCGATGCGGGACTAATTATCGGCTTTCCGAAGATGTTCGCCGTCGACGCGGGGGTCTGAACACCTGGGAATTGCGCATTCGACACCGGCGATACTATTGGGCTCTTACCGAACGCCGGCGTGATCGAGGTCGCCGTCGTTGTCGCAGGCATACCGAATGAAATTGTGCCCGCGGAGGAGGTGTTGCTGATGCTGATCCCGAAACTCGTGGCTGGCACACTGGTGATGGTGGTCTCGCCGAACGTCGGCTTACTCAGGGAAGTCTGGAAGGGTGACACGGTGTTGCTGCTGCTGCTGCTCGTAGGCATTGCTGAGGAGCTAGTGGTAATGCCGGTTGACGTGTTTGCGAATCCGCTGAACACCGATGTGGTGACCGGCGCCAAGGTCGACGTCCCGAAAGTAGGTGTAATCGACGGGAAAGAAACTGCGCCGAAGGTAGTCGTAGCGGGCAGTATGGTCGTCTCTGGCACTGTCGCTGCGTTCTTTACGACGGTCTGACCGCCGAATATCGGTGTCGCGGCTAACGAAATTGAAGCCTGGGGAGTTGCAGCGCCAAAGATGGGTGCTTTTACCTCAGGCGTAGTCACTTTCTCGATGACGACCGTACTGCTGGATGGCACTTCCGTCATCGGCTTGCGAGCGGCGTTCGCGTCCACAACGTTGATGGTAACCCCGCCGATAGTCATAACGGATGTAACAGTGGCAGTCGTCGCGAGACCTTGTGCTGTAGTAACGGGTGCGGGTGCGGCGAAGCTCATGGAAGTCGTGATTGCATTTACTTTCCCGTTCGCGCTGTTACTCGAGTGATCGACCGGTTGAATAGTTAACGTGCTCGGTGATCCCAAGGATAAAGCCGACAGTTCTATCGGCGTTTGCATCGGTGCCGCTGGTACCGTTATCGCGGGTTCTACGATAGAAGTGTGGGGTGTGGATTTCGAATAAGCGAAGGACATCATGTCGAGCGCAGTACCGGAGGGTGAGCTTTTCGCAACAGGCGGGGCTATAGGTGTAGCGAAACTGAACGTAGCGGCAGCGTCCGTTTTCACAGCTGGCGCCGTAGAGAGCGGTAAAAGATTACGGATTCCCATACGAGTGGTCTCCGTTAACGGATATTCCGTTGACAATACGTCCTTTAACAATCCGGTCGAGAACAAAGCAGATTCCGGAGCTTTAGGGACGCCATCGTTGCTCGGCGATTCCTTATTGTTCCTAGTAGTTGGATCTGTAAGAAGAGATTTCGAAAAGAGGATATCTTGAGATTTCGGCGCCGACGTTCCAAACGTGATAGACGTCGGGAAGTTAACATTAAGATCCTGTTTCGGCTTAGTTTGGGACGTTGCGAGAACTGCTGGCGCGGCAGGTTTTTTATCCACCTGCTTGATAGAGATCGCCCCGGGGAAAGAAACGGTCGTTGGAAGTGGCTTCTGTTGGACTTTGTTCTGCGCAACGATGCCGTTTGTGTCGGACGAACCGATTCTCGCAACGATACTGTTCAACGAAGCGAGGGGACTTTGCGATTTGGTCTGCTTCTCGACCGGCTGCTTGACGGCAATATTTTGTTTAACAATCGACAGCTCGGTTTTGGTCTTAGTTTCATTGATCACAGGACTGAGAGACGCTAGGGAAGACAGCGTATCCTTCAGGCGATCCTGAACCGGTGATGGATTGACCGGCTTGACAATTCTCGGAGATGATTCGGTAAGCAACGCCCTTAGCGCTGACTGCTTTTCGGGTGTAAAAGTCAGAGTCTTCGAGGCGATGGCTTTGCAGCGGGCATCTATAACGTCAGTTTTTCCGCGAATAACCGATGCTGGCGATTTCGGTGAACTCACGTGCAGACTCGCCATCGAACGATTGAGATTGGACACGCCACTAACCGCCAACGAGCGATTGAAGGACTTCCATCGCCGCGAGATTTGGTCGACCTTCTCTTTCTCCTTTGCGAAAATCTTGTTATGCGTCAGAAGATTCTGATACACATACTCCAAGCTGGGAATCTTCATTTGCGACTTTGCCCGCGCTTTGTGCTCCGACCATTCCAAATCCAAAATTTTACTGACTTGATTGAGCTGCGTTTGTATGTAGTAGTAACATCGCTGTAAATCCGCTATTTTGCTGTTCTCATTGCAGTTTCTAGTGGTGATATCAACGCTGGCTGCGTTTTTCGACTTAGTTTCTTCGACCCATGCGAACGACTGGAGCAAGAGAGCCTTCAAGTACGCTATATCGCTGGAGAGACTGTTTGTCGTGTCCGTTAAATCCCGCAAGAACTGTTCTATGTCGGCGGACGTCTCCCCGAGTCGTTTCTTTTCTGCGTCTGTACCGCATTCCCATACCTGCGGTTCCAATCTAATTCGCAATTCTTTCTCGAACAACGCCTGCTCCTGCACATAAGCACGCATCCGTATGTTATCGTCTATAGAAGGTTTCTGTTCCGTTATTTGTGGCAAGCTTGCTTCCTTATCTATAACTGACTTGGTTTCCGTCTTTACAGGTTCTGACACTGGTGTTTCTTTAGGCATAATCGGTTTCACAGCTATCTGCGGCGCAGCTTTTTCCTCTTGCAATTTCGGCTGTTCCGCCAGTTGCTCCACAGGTGGTTGGAAGAATCCTGCTGCTTTCAGAGAGTCGCCAAATATATTCGTCATCGGAGCGGGTTTTGATCGTTCCGGTGCCATCTCCGGTTGCTTCGAACGTGGCGTGCTGGTCACCGCGGCATTCATACTAAACGATATTTCCGGGGGCGAAGCATTAAGCTGTGACGGTGCTGGAGGCGAGACAATTTCCGTAGGAGGAACGTTGATGGCAGGACAGTTGGGTGCCAGATTAACCATGTGAAAGCTACACAATTTCCCGGACGTTCCAAGAATATGCAAGACGGGGACTGGATACGGCAACGTTGAATCCGCGCCCCACGGCAACGTGTAGGTCGGAGACTTGTCTATGGCCAGACCCAAGGGATAAATTTCCATGGTTCTCACCAGCGGTAATTCAGCTCTGCCGCTATCGACTAATTGCCATTGATTCCAATTCACGCCACCGTCTTTGGTGCCTAGCACAGCTATTTCGCTGCTGATGCTACTACCCGCTATGATAAGTCCCCATTCCGGCACGTGCTCGAAATAATAGCGTAGAACACTGTCCTTTCTCTCGGCGTCGGGAAAACCGTACGTGATATCTTCGTAGCATGTAAAGATAGCGTTTGCCTCTCCTTTCGGTGCGTCAACGATGAAAACGTTTATGTGCCGCTCGTCATTCAGATATGCGGCACAAAATTGATAATTACTGATCCATAGGATGTTAATTATCTCGCCTTTGGGTGGTGAAGGACCCGCGATGGTTCTAGCGACCTTTAAGGTATCTGGCTTTAATTGCACGATGTCTCCGTTTTTGCAACCCACTGCTATTTGTTTGCCTTTAGGACTCCAAGCTGCACACAGAGCCTGTGGCTCATTCGACACCTTGGAAAGCACAGATACTTTCGGTATAAAATTTTCTCTTGCTTCTTCTTCTATCTTCAATTGGAAACTACCAATAGTACAGTCGCTAGTAACGGTACAAAATATCGCAGGTACAGTGGGGTTCCATCGTATATCCGTTATGTAGCTATCTAGCTCGTTCGACGTTGTTATTTGAAGCAACAGGTTGAGACTCTGAAAATTATCGCGTTAATTAACTATAAATTTAACTATAGTTTCTATAATACACTAGATAAAATGTTGAAAATGTTCTTAAGACTTCTACAAAAATATGCTACGTGCATACATTTCTAACTAGTGAATAGGCATCGTATATCAATACTGTGGGCTTCAATGCTATGCCTATAGCGATATAATTATAATCACAATTAATGGCAATCTTTGATATAACAGCTGGCAACTGGAGTTCTATCTTCCACTCTGCACTGTTCTCCTCCGCCGGCTTCAAGACGGTAATTTTATCATCGTGTCCTATGTAAAGTAGTCCTCGCTTTTTGTCAGCCACGAGAAGATTGCAAGCAGGAGGAACATATGCAGGAGTCTTCAAGTCAAATATCTGATATGTATTTGACTGTTTAAATAAAAATTCCTGAAAGTATGAGAGCAACAGTGAATATAAAATCAGATATCAAGAGAAATAATTTAGGCTGCGGTCCACTTGACGCTACAAATGCTTTGGAGCGTTCTTCTCCTTTTTTCTTCATTGAGAGAAGAGACGAGGAATGCTTCGAAGCATTTGTAGCGTCAAGTGGACCGCAGCCTTAAATAGTGTATCTCAGGATGTACACACATAAGAATGCACAGTGTGCGATTCTTCTGTGCCAGCAAAAGCAACATTTTTTGACCGGCAAAATTTTAAACTAGAACGATTTAAAGCTAACGAACAAATGTTTGAAATTACACATGAATTACGAGTGGCATGTGGTGGACATACACATTGTTTTACTATTTTTCTAAATATTTTATAATATATGCATGATGTCTAAATATTTCTTAAGTATATATTAAATACAATTTACTTAACAAGAAAAAAAATTTGTTAAACTATTGCTTGAACATAATTATGTATATAAAAGAGGGATATCCTATAAATGTACATCATATATTTAAAAAAATACATTCCGTTCTTATGTTGGGAACAAACATCGCACGGAAAATTCTTAAAAGTTACTCAATTGTTTGTTTCACATTCGAGAGCTACTTTAGACCGGACAATAACGAATAACGAAATATCAAAGAACTTGATGCAAATGATTGCTCAGTTATTTGTTTCACGCTTGAGGAGCTTCTTTGGGTCATACCAAAGAGAGCTATCAAACGGAATTGATGTACAAACGTGTGTATAATGTAATTAGAGCTATCATATAGATTATAGATATTTTAAAGATCAACGTGTCACTCGTACGAGACTAATGCTTGTCAAATCTCGACGAAGTCGTCGGGGCGAACGACGCCCCGTGAGGAATCGAGTAAAGGGACGTAAAACGAATTTTTTCAGACGGTCGTGCAGCTCCCGAAGACGATTTTTAATACAACTTGTTCGCCGGTTGTGTCCACGATCCACTTCAGCCACGCGTGCAATTCTCGCTGTTACAAATCGACGCGCGGTACCTGCACATCTATCGGATCCAGCGATGCCTTCATTTCTATGATATTTTCGAGTTACGTCTCGTAAACAGACAACAATAGGGATAAACAAGATCGACTCCAGTCGGTCGCGCTTCAACCAAATTTCAACAGACGTACTGAAACCAGCCACTGACTGCAGCCTGCTGTGATGTTCACTCGGCAAGGACGCAGTTGCGCAACCGCCGAGGGCGCCGAGCTCGAGCAGCGACCGCGGAATCGCGAATATCGCGATTGCTTGATTGGCTCCCGTTTTTAGATCCGGCAAATCAGTCCGGGAATTATAAATCTCATTGGAGAGAGTTTAGGTCCGTTCTTTTTTACCTGAACTTCTTGCACGGTTTATCTTCTCTCTTTTTCTCTCCAACGTGAAAAGAAAAGAAAAAGGGGAAAGATGAACTGTGCAAGAACGCAAGAAGAAGTTCAGCAGCTGATGGAGGATTCACATTGCCTCCGATCACGTCCGATGTTCGACGTACGACGATCCGACATCCAATAACAGAATTTATTATTAGAGACAAAAATTTCCTATTGGATGTCGGATCGTCGTACGTCGAACATCGGACGCAGTGTGAATCCTCCATAAAACGAACAGACCTCTAGCCAATGCTCGTATGACATATCTCGTATTTAACCCTTTATAACCGGTTTTTTGTTTGTTTGTAAGAAGAATTACACGACCAGTAAATGGGAAATGAAAATTAAAACTTAATTAAGTTTAAAAAACAAATATGTAGACAAATGTATACGTAAATATCAACTCTTGACATTATAGAGGGTTAACATCTTGAATATAAATAAGATTGATTTGTGTACACTAAACTGACAAGAGTGACCAGATATTCAACATATGTGTTGCTAAATAATGTGATAATGCGTCAAGACTGGGAATTAGATCAAGAGAAGCCGTGTTTTCGCATTTAAATAATTATATGCACCACAGTTGAGTACATATGTAGAAGTGCAGGTGACTGGATAACCTAAAATAGAACTGTTTATTGTCAATCCAGACCTATCGATCAAGATTTTTGGTGGAATCAAGATTAAAATCAGACTTATTCTGGACCTGAATTAATTTACTCTTTCTAACTTTAATCGAGGATATCCCAAAAATAAAAAAGAAAAGAATCAGGTTAACCGGCTGAACCGCTTCTCGTTTGAATGTGATCAAACGTTATCTTTTGCACGTGTAAAAGCTTTAATTAATCCGACGGAAATTTTGACGAAAACGAAAGTATAAGGGATACTGAGCCGTCGTTTCGATACATAAAACAATACACGATACAACGCAATGTCTGATAAAACTGTATTTGTTACCATTGGCACAACAAAATTTGATGATCTGATAACTACAGTGTTGAGTCGCGCAGTCCTGGAGGTAGTTTATACAATATTTATATTTTGTCATTATTTATATTAATTTCTTTTTGCTGTAGATTCAATTATCTGTTCTTCATTTGGTGTTTATAATTTAATATCGTGGTTCTAGGCTCTGTCAGCACGCGGTTACAACCATCTGATCTTGCAAATTGGCAACAGCAACTTGAAACCAGATTGCACTGCGCGTTATGGTTTCCGTAAGATAGAAACTTTTGGTTTAAGTCCATCCATTGGGGAGTACATGCAACTGGCAGACCTTGTGATAAGCCATGCAGGTGCGGGAAGTGTATTGGAAGCTTTAGAAAAACGCAAACACTTAATTGTGGTGACCAACGATCTGCTCATGGACAATCATCAGATTGAATTGGCTGAACAGCTATACAAAGATGAGCACTTGTATTACTCTACTTGTCAAAATTTGTTGCCTGTTATACGAACGATGGACTTGGCGAAGTTAAAGCCATTCACCAGTGACAAAAGTACAGATATAGCCAATTTTATTGACAAAATAATGGGATTTAGGTGACGATGTTGGGATAGTTTTTTCATCTTGCCAAGTATGGAAAAAGACTGTTTTGTCGATCAATGTTATAAAAAAGTCCAATAGCTATGGGAACAAGCAGCAATATTCATATATATTTGAATTCTTAACATGTTTTACAATATGGATACATATTCCATAAAGTTTAAATTCATTACTGTAATATATTATATGGTTGATGTAATTTATACAATAATAGTATATTATACACTTAAACACAACCGTCCCTCAAAACTATGTTTACATGATATAGAAAAATTTATAACTCTGCAGTTAGTCAAATTGTGACAGATCAATGGCAGTTATAACGTTCCCTTGGATAATTTGTAAATTATTCTTGGACATCTGTCACTGTTAACGTAACACGTAATTCTGTAAAAGTATCATAAAGGTTGTTGGCTATTAAAATAAATCCAGCTCTTTAAAAAATATCAGTTATCTTCTATGTAATCTTTAGCATTGATCAACGTCCTATAATAATCAGGACAATTGATATAATATTAGCAAGTGAAATAATTTTTATGCTCCAATGCACTACTATCTTCTGTGAGTTATTGCTGTATGGCATACTTTCAATTTATTTTTCACGAAGACATTTTACACGGACAAGAAGAGAACTACACAGAATTATAGTAGTGTGTGCTTTAATTACAAATCAAGCCGAGCCGTGTCATTTCCTTTAGAAGTTCGTTACCCATTTGTGCGGGACTCCTTGTTACTATTACACCAGCCTGATAACAGAACCCACGTATGTATTGCTCGATTAAAAAAAAAAAATGATTTAAAGTATATTAATAATACGTGAATAGAAATTTTGACTCACTTTTTCGAGTGCATTAATCTTATCTTGCGCTCCACCTTTCCCCCCTGAGATTATGGCACCAGCGTGTCCCATTCTTCGTCCGGGTGGTGCAGTAATACCAGCGATAAATGATACCACTGGCTTAGCTTTTCCACCCTACAACATGTATAAAGTAAGCGAAGTACGACATACTAATGTTACGATGGGCTCCCAGGACGAGACAGGATTTGGCTAGGACAGGATCGGGATTCGGGTACCAATAATTCTGAACAGCAACCAACAGTATTCTTTTCGATGAGATATTCCGCTGCCAATTCCTCTGCGCTGCCACCAATCTCTCCTATCATTATAATACCATCGCAATCTGGATCGGTGAGAAATACATTCAAACAGTCGATGAAATCGGTACCGTTGAACGGATCGCCGCCAATACCAACGCATAACGTTTGCCCAAGTCCCGCCTTCAAATAAAAATATTGTTGTAATTATCATTACATTTGACATTAACTTCTGGACGTGCTTCTGAAATATGCTTACAAGCGTCGTTTGATTCACAGCCTCGTAAGTTAGGGTTCCCGATCTCGAGACAATGCCAATCTTTCCTTTTTGATGTATATGACCAGGCATAATACCAATTTTACACTACAACATTACATATGCGACGAGAAAGAATTATATTCCGTTTTGTCAATAAATTTGTAATGTAATAACTAAAAGTTATTTTTGTACCTGTTCAGGTGCTATTATTCCAGGGCAGTTCGGACCAATTAAACGTGACTTATTTTGTTCGAGTAATCGCCTTTTCACTTTGACCATGTCATGTTGAGGAATACCTTCCGTAATACAAACAATTAATGGCATTTCTGCGTCAATTGCTTCCATAATGGCTGACGCCGCGGCCGGAGGAGGAACGTAAATGACTGTCGCAGTAGCTCCAGTCGCTTCTTTCGCCTATATAAGATATAGAAGACAATTTAAACGCCGCTACAGAGATGAATGAACAAACATTGTAAAAGAGTAACAGTGTACCTCCTTAACAGATTTATACACTGGTTTGCCAAGATGCTCTGTTCCAGCCTTCTTGGGACTAACTCCGCCTACTATCTTTGTACCATAATCGAGCGCCTGCTGGCAGTGGAAAGTCCCTTGCTTTCCAGTAAAACCTTGACATATCACTTTGGTATTTGCATCGATTTTTAAATTCTTCCTAGTTTCTGTGTAATTAAATCTCACCTGAGAGCGTATTAAACTTCCACAGTTTCTAACTGAAAAATCACAAGACAACATATGAGTATTGCCAAATCTATTGGATAAAACTAAAATACATGAAAGAAGAGAAGGATAACCAGGATATATTTATTGTTTAAGAATGTCACAAGTATGGCATCATACATAGACCAACATCAATATACAAATTAAAGGAAAAAAATCATGTTCAATTTTTTACATTTCAATACTACGCACACATTGAAAATAAAAGGTATGTTTATTGCCTTCTTTTATTCTTAGCAGCAAATTCCAAGATTTCTGGGTCAAGGTTTATTTGCTTGCAGATTATCCAACGTAACAAATTTCTACTATGTCATAAAATAATGAGCAGAAGGCATATCCGTGTAATTTAAAACATGCAATATATTCTGAGAGAAAAAAAAACAGGAAAGAGATTAAAGTACATGAAAGAACAGGGAGTATCGCCAATCCCAGCTGTATGTGGGAGAGTTATCGCCACGGGGGAAGGGTCGCGAGATTATTAATACGAGAGCAAATTATCCATTTGCATTGCGTACGAGCCCGTGCATAGTTCCCAATTAGTAAAACACGCATTTCCCGATGAGGCCGCGACCCAGCCCCGCGCTCATGTCCTCCCTTATATAATGAAATGTCATAAACGCGGGCTGTCAGCATTATTTTTAGTTCCGTTCATAGGCTGGCGCGTGGCGTAATCGGCGGGAGGAAAAAAAGAATCTCGAGGGCATTGCCGTTGAAACGTGCAAAAGTCAGAGGGACCAACGAGGACGGTGCAACGCGGGGATATCGCGGGGAATGTATCGGGGGGACACACACGTCGCGAGGAACCCACCAGCGAATTTTGTGAGCGACCTGGCAGCCACAGCCATCTTTCGGTTCGTCCTTTCCGCTGAGGAGGCGATGCTCAAAATTGAATTAACACCGGAGCACCATTGATAGTACTAGCCACTACGGTTCTGACTACTTCTGACGTTCGGACAAGAAGGTCATAGTCCAGGAAAAGACACAGACGGGAGATATCGCACGAAGTTGACGAAGTTGGCCTGGCCTGAGCCACGAACTCGCAAGAGCGTATAGAAACGTGGATCGCGCGCGCCATTCGCGCCTCGATCGCCTCGTCTCCATTGGCTACGAGCATGTCGCGCTTCTTCTATTGGCGAATTTTAAATTTATCCACGTTGTCCGTTACTCGATCGAACATATATTGGACATTTTATCGGTTTATTATATGTTATTAATATATTATAATATTTTGCTATCTAATATTAATAGGCGCTAAAGGATATTTATAGTGCGATCTTACACTTTTATGTGGACGGCATTCATAATAAGATTTCGGGAAATTATACGGTCATAATGGATTAATCTAGGCAACTAAATTTGCTAATTTTTCTATTATATTTACATATAATAGAAGAATCAATTAATCGCTTATTTAGCACGAAGACTACTATTGCTGCGCAGTGCGCGGACTACTATATTCCTTTTTTTTTAGTTTTCTTTATTCTAATTGATTAAATTTCGATCTAATCTCAATTCAATCTCATTAATCCGCAGTGTGATACGAGGTTTAGGAACTGATGAGGGCTAGGGATCAATAAATTGATCATCAATTGTCATTTTCACCAACAAGAAGAAGGGATGCCGGAAAGGTAGCGCGCTGTACGATCAGCAGCGGGACTTCCGGGAGCGAGCGTAGTTGACAAGAGGGACGATTGATGGTACCGCCGTTGGCGCCGTTGCCGAATGTTCATCGCTCGAGACTCTCTCGAGGGACGGTCTGTGCGGTGCGCCAGTCTACACAAATTCTTTTCGATTTCATTATCATTATTACTGACATAAGAATTTAATTATATCCACGTTTTTACATGGATCGCAATTCAATCAAATTCGCAGTGCCCCGGTCACGTAGGTAATATCGGCGCGTGCACGAAGCATGATACGGGCGACGGCGGTGTCGGGGAAAATAAATCTGATAAAAATGACGTGTTGAGAAGATACGCTTTATCGCTTGACGGGGAGCGTCGAAGGAATTGCCCAAGGTAAATGCACTTTCGGCGCGCTCCCAATTTATTCCGTCGCGCTATCGATCCGTGATTTTTATCGCGTGAAACGTTACGGCCGGAGATCCCGGAAGTACGCCGAAAAATCTCCCCGTCCCCGAGAGCTCGAGCCCGAGGAGCCGTGTCCGTGCCAGTGCATAGGACTTTTCTTCCCCGTAATCCGATACGGTTCTCGGAAAGACGGAAAAGTCTCTCCGTGCATGACGCGCCGAAACACGCATCGCCGCGTGGAACGGAAAAGCTTCCGACGTCGTGGCTGTCGCTCCGAAGTCCGGCGTACTTACGCGGCCGTTCTAGATTCGTACACCCGGGAGGAAATTTATTTTTATTATCTCTAATTTTGCGCGTGCCGCCCCAATTGTTGCGATTCCGCGAGGTATCCTGGCTTTAATGTTATGCAACTGCATGCCCCCTCGGCTGATCCCCCCGGCTGGTCTTGCGCGCCCTAACATTTCTATTGTGTTGTGGCCCTAACGTGTAGAGGTAGGATGGAGGAGAGCGGCACGAGCTCGGAAAATGTCTGGCACAAGGGCAAGCCTGAAGAGCAAAGCGGGCTGTTTCAAGGAGAGTCCGCGGCCGCGTCCGTAGAAGCCAACTCTACGTCGTTGGCCGATATATTTGACACGGCGTTCACGTCGACGGTTGATCCATCGCCGCAGCCTCGGTTTCCTTCAGGTACACGTGAGGAACTTGACACAGCTTCCTCCGTCGGTCTCTACGTAAAATATCTTTTTTACGTACAGACTTCTCGTTACGGTATATGATGCAATGTGAATCGAACGCACGTCTTTCTCGCTTCCAGGTAATGAAATGGAGTACGAGCATTTATTCGCGGAAAGTGATATCGAAGAGTCAGACGTAACAGCTATAGGTCCTTATGCAAATTCAGCTCATCCTACTGCTTCCGAGAACAATTTTGTTTATGGAAATTATTTAACGCAGCAAGATGCAACTGGCGACTCGCAGGAGTATTGGCAATCTAATCTCTTGAATTGCAACATGTGCCAAAATAGACAAGAAAGAAACTCTAAAAAAGATCCTCCTACTCGACAATTGAATAATTCGTGCGAGGACAGAGTGTGTGACAATTATAGAAGAAAAAGAATTTTGCACGATCGTGACTTGACGGTCAAGCATAAAACTAAAAAGAGCGACGAACAAAAATTATTGAGTGGTCAGCAGCCAGATAGTTTGAGTATAGCTGGACCGTCTAGATTGTCGGATCATCCTATTTCAAACAGGTATTTATTTGCGATCTATCAATGTTTATATAGTTTGTTATTTGCAATATATTACGAATAAATTATATTACTTTGCAGTATAACGAGAGCGGCAGAAAACGCAGATGTTTTACAAAATTTAGGAAGTGATAATGCCAACGAGTCTAATAGTTTGTATCATTCAGTTATGTCAAATGTGATAACTCCTCAAGAAATGCATTCATCTCGTACGTAGCATTTAAAATACATTAAAGCTGAAGTCACATGGCATGTATTTTCCGCGTAACGCGTAACAGCGTAACCAATTAGAAGAGAGCGTTTCGCATTTTCGGTTACGCATATTCGCGCTTCTGATTGGTTACGCGATACGCGTTACACGGAAAATATCAGTCCATGTGACCGCACCCTAAGACTTATATATGCATAAATTAGTGATTATTAATCTGTCAACAATCTTGTAACTTTAACAGAAAGTGATGACACACCATCGGCACCAGATCTGCAGCTAGATTGGTCCTCCAGTAGTGATAGTGACGATGAGGATGGCTCGGTTGAAGTACTTGGAACTGTCAACCATAATGCCAAGGTAAGTGAATATTTTTAAATGTAAAGAATAATTACACGCTAAGAAAATTAATGTTAGTACATGATTAATTCGGTAGATTATATTTAATTTTTTTGGTGTGAAAAGTGATTATAGTCTCTTCATATAATATTTGGTGTAAGAGAAATATAATTGTAACTTTTGTTCATAAAGATTACTTCAATCAAAACAGAATATAGTTGATCTTTTAATGTCTTGTTGCTACGGTTTATCGACCATATCTTAAAGTATTAAAATATTTTATAAAAAGCCTTGTGTTGCAATCCTTTCATATCAGAAAGATTAATAATACACAAACAATACTGTAGTATGTCAAGTCTTTCTCCCGAGTATGAGTGTCTGAGATTATAACGAGAAGAGATCAGAAATGAGAAAAATACAAGAAAATAGCATAAAACAACTAAAACAGAAAATCTATCAATGTAGATACTGTGAAAACTTTATTTAAAAGAACGCATTTCCCATAATGTTATAGAATTCATTAGAAAATACAAATGAGGATAATCATACAGTCACCGTAGTTGACTTAACTGTAGAATCTGACGAAGAGCACACATCATCTACGCCGACAAATCCTGTAGTTAATCCATGGTCAGCAGATTATAATCATAGGTGAGCACTGCATTTTTAAATACATTAGTTTTTATCTAATTACGATAATTTTTTTATTTTTACAATGTTATACATGTCATAAAATCCTGTTTAGAAATAATACCCACTGTATGCATGGACCACCACCAGATTATTGGAATCATCTGCATAATATTTCTAACATGCATAGAGGCAGGTATCACAATCATAGATTGCCTGCTCAAACAGGTTATTCACCTATAGGAGGTATGACCTTATATTTGGAAATCTGTCTAGCAACTGTTAAAGAATGGCATAATTAGAATATAAAGTTTGCCGTATAATATATGTTATAAAATAATAGGAATAAAATTAAACTTTCTTATTATTATAAACAGATACAGCTACGGAAGTAGTACAAGTAAGACCACGGATGCATCCTATGCAAGAAAGATTATGGATGAATCAGCAACGCATGCAGGAAGTACATAGACGAAGACTTTACCACAGATCTTCGTCTCATCACACGTTAGTATTTCAATATACTTACATTGTATTCCATTTTAGGCAAAAGTGCATCTTTATTTATAAATCAAACTTTGTCATTAGTGCGGGACCATGTAACGCTCACGTGCATTCATCGACGCAACATACTTGTGGAGAGGGAGAAAACAGTAGTCCCCCGAACACTCGATGCAATAATGGCACGGATAATGCAGCGTATACAGAAAATTATCTCCCACCTCCTATCTTACCGCCGCCGCAGCAACCTACTGTTTACAGTCATCCCGAGGCTCGAGGGCCATCTAGCTTCTATAGGGGACCATGCCCTGTGCTGCCTATAATCGTAATCTAAAGATCCATGCAAAATGTCTCGATATCATATTTTATATAATTTACATTTCGTATTGTATATATTTACAGGTAAATCCGTTGAATAATCAGCCAGTAGACTCGATGTCTCCGCTGATGTTACCATCGATACATCAACCGATACATCAACACGTGCATCATCATATGTATCATTATGATCCACATCAACGGCAACGCATGCATCACGTTCACATTAGTTTCCATCCCCATATGGTTCGTTTTCTATTATATGTATATTGTCAAGTACATTACACGTAACTTTTTAAACATATATTTTGTTTCATATTACTTTAACGCATATATAGCAAGGATCTGGAGCACACCAGATAGTACCGTTTGCACCGGGTATGTCAGAATTTGTATTGCAAGGAACACGTCACATGTCTCGACTGGACAACTACATGCGCATTGTTGATTTGCGACGTATGGCTCATATAAGTTGTGGGGCTACACAAGAGTCCATTGAAAGCCACACATTCCCTCACAAATATAAACGGGTAAAGATTTAAATAAAACCTTTTAATATCATTTACGTTACATAAGCAATCTGTTACATGATATTACAATACGTTACGTATCTATTTGTAGGTAAAAAAGGTAGAAAATGGGGAAGATGCTATTGAGAAATGTACAATATGTTTATCTGAATTTGAAGATTGTGAACGTGTCAGGTAAGAATTGTTTCAGCTTTTATATCTTAATAAAATATGAGTTATAGCATTTTTGTATTTTTTTTTGTCCAGGAGGCTTCCATGTATGCATTTATTTCATATTGACTGCGTTGATCGATGGTTATGCACCAATAAACGTTGTCCTATATGTCGAGTGGATATCGAAACATTTCTCCATAAGGAATTTACTACTTCGGCATAGTTTAAGGTTTCCCATATCTGCCTCTTTTTGAAATGTAATCAGGTAACGTATATATGATATCAAATATTTCAAGATGGTCCATCCAGGAAAAAAATGCACTGGGTTACCACTACTATTACGAAATAATGATGTAAAAATGTTATGGATAATCAAAATAACGAAGCATCAGCTGAGTTCCTCAAGAAGACAAGAAGAGTTGTCATTGTTTCTTTTTACATCTACCATCTGTAGTTGATTTTATGTGTCTTGATAATGATAAATATTAAATTGATTTATCGAACATTAATGACTTATTCATATTTAATTTTTATCTTTTTATCTATAAATATAAAACAAAATCTGTACTATGAGAACATCCAACATTCTTTATATGATTTTATAAAGATATGGCATTTTTTTTTATAGAATATGTAATATTTAAAAAATATATACATAGACATATACAGAGAGCAACTCGATTTGATTCTATATCGATATAACTTTGGGTATACAAAATATATATGCATATAAATTATATACATTCAGTGTATTTCAACTTATGAGAGTGTATTGGAGTTTCTATTGTAAATATTTCATTGATTGTATGTAAATTTTTGTAATGCTTGTATTAAATTTGTGACCTTAACCAAATTCTAGTATTACATGTTATACTAGCGATAATTCAAAGAGTAGCTTCGTTCTAATTTTGTCCTGAATATTGATATATATATACAGGATACATATTAGGCCCTAATTTGATTCCGATCATTCATTCTCAACAGCATAGATCTGAATATTGGAAAGATATCAATTTGCATCTGTTGCAAGTTGCTATTGATTATTCTCCGTGTGAGAATATCGCTAGTGCGTTTTTCAAATTACTTTATATTATTATATCTATTAATACGTTACATTTCATTTTCTTTATAGACATTATTCTAATTAAATTCGAACGCAGCGGCAATTGAAATAATATTGAAAATGATATGGCAGTCTTGTATTCAATTATGAATTTATACTGAATTTCTTTGATTATTACCGATGCTAAGCCAAAGACTTAGCTTAAGTTATAAGCGTAAACGAATATCCGATCTATAGGATGATTAAGCAATTTTAAATAAATTAAAGATAATCGCCATTGCACCTATGAAAACTACGAAAAAAAGTCACTGTATCGTCAGGCCTTATATATATTGTCACTCTTGTATATATATGTTCTGTTACATAATAGAATCAAAATAATACTACTGTTCTATAATTATAACAATCCGTGGTAAAGGCTGCTTTTACCACATTAGTACCTTCACACACACACACATATATACACACACAGTCTCACACACACACACACACACGCGGTATTCAAGTAAATACTGTGGCGTGAATAATTTTATTTTGTTAATGTGCGATAAAAAATATATAATATATAATAGGTAATACGTAAAAATATACATATAATATCATACTTACAGAATTAATCGTTGCTGGTTTGATATAAAAGAATGAATTGACAAGAGGGAAATATTATATATTATTATCAAAAATTTTCGTCAAGTCCAAGTTTGGTGAAGATCTACATTTTTCTGCTAGATTGTGAATTTTATCGTCTGAAGATATAACGATCTCGTATAATTATTTCATTATTGACGAACGATTATTGATGAACGATTGTTATCGCGGAAACATTTTTATACACTGCCATATACCAATACTATCTATCAAGATTCAGTTATTAAGGGACACGGGGTATATCTCTTTAACGACCGTTTTATTTTATACGACAAATTTTAACGGTTGTTTAATCGAGTACATTAGTAAGTTTTAAATATTGAATTCATATTTCGAGGGTGATATGTAATACGTCCTGTTTCAAGGATCGTGAAAACAAAAGAAAAGATATATTTGCCATATACAATCAAGTAGTTAGACATAATTCGTCTCGACGACTTCTTATTTTGCGAAATAAGAGCAAGTGGATATATACATGTATGTACCTCTATATTATAATTATAACTACAATACTACATATATATATATATATATATATATATATATATTTATGTATGTATGTATGTATTGGAAAACTTAAAATAATAATTTTATATACTTTCGTATAAATAATAGGAATTTATACTGTATATATAATAAAATAGGAATAATAATGCAAAATATTGACTTACTGTTGCAACGCTAGAGAGTAAACGTTATACAAAATACACGACCCTTAAAAAAAATTATTACCTTGTTTAATTAAAACCATGAAAAATCACTCGATCTTGCGTATGTTCATCGGTCGAAGACTCGTAACGCGAAATGTCCTTGAGTAACGCATATTTGTATTAATAGCGTGTGTATCAACATGCGGAATCGCTCTTTTATTGCCGGTAAATTACCGCGTACGCGGAATTGCACGTTGGCGATTACAAATAGATGCGAGAAATCCATTAGTATTATTATGCGTCATATGGGTACCTACGACGACGTACGAGCAGCGTCACGAGGTCGCCTCCGAAGCGTAAAAAAATCCCAGAAATGTGAAACAGATCTGAGTTGTCCGAACTGGCATTGAGAAAGTAACGCCATGGGGCATTTGAAAAGTTCTCTTATTCATGGTAATCCGCTAGTTCAGTGGCGATGTGATTTTCTCTGATGACTCATGTCGAGCATCTGAGACGGGACTTTTTGTAGATATCCCTCCGAGATAAAGAGAATGCAGTTCTTCGCTATGCTTCTGTATAGCGATTCATATATGTAGTTCGATTATCGATATAGTTATATAATATCTGTATAAAATGACTCGCACGTGCAAATGTAAAACGGGAAAAATTTTTCTTAATGACAGGAAAAAATGTCTCTCAAGAATGTTTTGCCCAAAATTCGATAGAAACTGTTAAATATTATAACATGTCCGGCCTTTGTGCAAATTGTGTGTGGCTAACATTCCGATGTATGCTTACGCAGTCTTAGACACCCAGATAGTAAAGTGACGTCAAATGACATGTCTCGATGACGTCTCTAACATCAATAGTACGTCATTAAGACGTGTTTAGACGTCATCTTGTTACCTGGGAAAACATAGAATAACAAATAATCTATTAATTGTAATCCTTAAACATTGCAATTAGTGTTATAGTGAATTATTATAACTTATATTAATTTTGATATTAACAATTCATGTTGGATGGCCACATACGGAGTGTCTAATAACAAATATAACACCGCACGTAGGTAGACAGAGTGTAAACTGAATGGAAAAGTTCTCTTTTGCGAATTTCGCAATAACTGAGAAAATTAATTAATAAAGATCTACGAATAAGCGTGCATTCGCGTGGATTTGCTGAAGAAGGGAGCCGAGCGTCACAAGATAATTATTGTTGCTACGCGCGCGGTGAGACATCGGGAGGAGCGCGCTTCCAACAACCGCGAACGCTGAAACTTTTACTGCTGAATCACGCGGATGCACGCTCATTCGCAGATCTTTATTAATTAATTTGTCATTGATTATTGCGAAAATCACAAAGTGGTAGATGACTTTTCACTCAGTTTTTTAAATCTGTTCTACCTATCCACAAACGATGTTATACCTAATTATCAAACATCCTAAAATTAACATTGTAAATATGCGTTCAATTATGATTAAAAGAAATCTTGTTTATCACATCCTTAAGATCATAACAACTGATTGTCCCTCGTCCGCCAAACGTGAATAGTCTACCGAATAGTCTAGAATCGATAGTCTAGAAAAGTTTAGAAAAACTCATCGGGCTTTAAAAGAGCGGACGTCCGCGCTCGCGATAGCAATCGCTTGTGATGATTAGCACTGATCGGATCAGAAATTTATATCTACAGGTATTTCCTCAGTACTTCAGTCTTCGTCGCTCGGCGCAATTATCGTTACATGCCATGTGCATTGTTTTGCATGCTGCAAGACGAGTAACCTAGCATAATCAGATGGTCAAGTTCGACGCTGCGTACGTCGTGTCGCACTCTGTACACCGCGAAATTGCTCATTTCGCGCCGGAATCTGTAAATAGTACATTAAACATGGAGGAAG